CATAATAAATGATGGAGTATATGGCCCAGGAACCCCCGACCCATAGACTCCTACTTCTCCTACACAAGTCCATTGAGCCCAGAAAACAACTCAGGCCCAAATATAACGGCCCAAGCCTCAAAGTGGTCCAGGATACACACTGGGGGTGCCTTCGGCCTCCTTGACCGAAGGCTCCAAAAACTCACAGGGTAGCCTTCTCTGGCATAAGAAGCTACTCGGAGAGAACGGCGAAAAACATGAGCCTTCGGCATTACCGAGCCCTCGGCATCAGGGAAGCCTTCGGCTGAACCTAGCCTTCGGTCACACGAGGCCTTCGGTTTCACAGGGGGCCTCAGTCACACGGAGCTCTCGGCTACACAAGGAGCCTTCGGCCAACTGCTCAATCATCGAAGATTCCCTTTGGAGGTAAGCAACCACCGCATTTAATGCGATGTCACATCCACCAACCGCATTCAATGCGGTGAACATGCCACTGCCGGTGCCACCCGAGTGATGTGACCCCTCGGCCGTTGGATTACTGACACGTGTACTCTCACCGCATTTATTGCTGCTATAAATAGCAGCCCATTTCTCCTTGTAAACGATCCCCAACTCCACACGCTGAGTTCATTTAATAAAATCGACTCTCTCTCCTCCTATTTACTCTTACTTCTCTCTAAGTTATTTCCGCAATAACCCCTCGGATAAGATACCCCCGGGTAGACTGTCCATCAATAAATTTGGCATTTTCCCCCCAAATGACTATAGGTGGTGGTGCTGGGGCGACAGAGACGGCGGTGACAAAAAAAATTTTGATTTGTTTTTCATTTTTTTTTAAATTTAATTTATTGTTATTCAAAATATTTTTATTAATTTTTTGGTATATTTTATGAATTTTTATTATTTTTTATTATTTTATTATGAATTAAAACATTCCAATAAGTATAAGGATATATTTGTCCAAGACACATATAATTAATCCTATGGAAAAATAGTTTATTTTTTGATTTTATTTGTGCAAGATGAATACTTTTAGTCCTATTTTGATAAAATTACATCACCTTAAATTATCTGGAATCCCCATTTCTGCTGCAAACCCGATGTCGTCCACGGCCTTTAGAACCATCTTCTATTATACAAAAGCAAAATGAAATATGAACAGTGTTCCCGCCCAAAAACCGGGTCAAAATATGGGTCAAATATGGGTCAAAAGTATGGGTCAAACGGGTCTGAAAAGTTTGCTCAACTACTTTTGCAAAGAAGTGACAAGTTGGCTAAAGTGTCATAAGAATGGGTATGACATTATTGGATAAAGCAAAAAGCTGTCAGCCACTGTCCCGTAGGTATTTAAAAAAGATTTATAGTACAACAAAGCCAACATGCGTACAATCTTTTAGTGGCTCAATAAAAATCTTTTTACTGTGTAAATACATTAAATGCATTGTACTACTGCATCATAGTCCTTATTAGTGCATTTCGAATACATAGGTTTCTTAAGTGGAGTAAGGGTAGAAATAAACATTAAATGCAAAGTACATTTGTACTACACAACAATAAAGGATCTATACTAAAAATCTCATTCTAAAGATTGAGTTCGAATGAACCATCGGTTAAAACCCCAATGATACCATATCAGACCATGTATGATGGAACTATAAATACGAGCAATGCAATCACAATCACATGAAGTGGAGTTCGAGCTTATGAGGTTCCACCCCATTCCAAGGGTGGGGAAACACAACAGATGATCTTGCTTGCTGAGGAGGTAATGCTTTCGTACACATTTCATTGATCTTCCCGTCAGTATCAAGTGAATCTAAATATTAACCAGATACCAGGGTTGATTGTCCTGTGTCTACAGATAGAAGATATGTGCACAATTGGATGCATTAGAGATATGTCTTAAAATGATATAGGTAAATATGAATACAAATGTAACGACATGGTAATTTATGTCAAATAACATATACAAAAATGTTTTTAAATTGAACTATTAATTTATACATTTAACCTGTTTTTGTTTCACAGTTTACATATGATGATGGGTCAATGAAGTGTGGTCATTCAACAAGAACAATTTTGAGAAGAGAACTAGGTGGATAAATCAAGAATAAAAAAAATTATGCTTAATGTTTAATGAGAACTCCCAACCAAGAGCAAGCCCTGTTAGATTACAGAATATATAACATAATATAATTTAATATAATATTCTTCATAGATAATACTACGTATAACTTCTATTATAACTTATGTATAGTGTTGGGCCATATTTAAAAAATTTGTAGGGTATGGAAAATGTCAAATCATTGAAACTTATTACCCAATATAACTCTTCCCACAGAGATGGTATGTAAAAGAATAAGGTACATATGAGGCAGAAACATACTTGCAAGGAGTGGGATGATGAAGAAGGTATACTTTTGTATCTGTAAATATGCATAATTTACAAGATCAATACACGAATCCAGTCTAAGACATTAATAGAGACATTACAATTACTGTATGAATTCTACTCATTAAGATGAGTTCATGTTCATGTTCAACATATCACAGAATCGATAACATTTGGAAGCATGTATCATTAAATATCATAAAATAAGATATACACATATTTAAACGGAGATATTATTTATCACAAAATACATACTCTATGTTAAATCCAGAATTTCACAATCGTTTGCATTTGAAATAACAATGGGTATAAATCATTTTCATAATGTTAAATCCAAAATTCATGTTCAACTATTTAATAAACATCATCTTTAATAAAAAAAAAAAGATGAATTGGAACTAAAATATGGATGATAGACTATCCCATATATAGATCGCAATCCAGATACATATATCGTACAAATTGTATATAAGTAGACTTATATTTGACATTTTAATTTAGTACTGCCTATATCATTTTCTTAAGATAATGATATGATAATGTCATTATGCCAAGCATATTATTTATGTTAATAACTTACAAATCAAGTACGGAGTATATATTTATCAATGTCCATCAAATACGACATATATACATTTAATACTTTTACAGATTTATGTACCAAACCGTTGGATCTAATTAGCGTAGATATTATTCAGAATTTCAGATGACATGTACCAAAAAAACGTTGATACTCCTATGTCTATCATAAAAATTTATAATAGATTTAGTAAAATATAAGAACTAAATATTATAATGAATTTAAGGAAATCTGAATTTATACAGACCCACACATATCACAATCTTGAGTCATGCACACAATATCAAAACTGATACAAACATAATAAGTGATATAGATGCAAAAAAATCAAATTAAAGGAAGGAGATGTAAGGGATATACCCAAATTCCGAGATTTTAGTAGGTCATGGCTTGAGATCCATCGATCTGCTCTCAGCCACCGTCAACAATCGGATGGTTGGATGGTCCGCCGCAGTTCTTTCACCGGAGAACAGGAACCTTTCGCCATACCACCGAAATGGTCGGATAAGAGGACAATAGTCAAGATGATAAAAGTAAAAAAAGGCTTAGACCTGCGCTAAAGAACTCATCGGATGATTTCTTTAGATGAGTTGTACGGATGAAATAAAATGGCTGCAGGGAAATGCTATGTTATATAGTGTATACGTTAGGTTTTGCAATGGGCCAGTTTAAATGGTGAGTGATAGTGGGCTTAGTTGAGCTGGGGTCATATGGACTGATAAGGAAATTGTCTAAACTGTCCAAAATAATACTCTCTCTGTCCCTTAAAACTTTGTCATCTTTCCTTTTTGGGATGTCCCAAAAAATTTTGTCACTTTCCTTTTTAATCAATGATTTTTTGGTTTCTGTTATTTCTCTCTCCTCTGCACAAACCTCAACCACACAGTTTTTACTTTATTATTCTCCGTGTCAATCAACTTTGGCAAAGTTTTAAAGGACGGAGGTAGTAATTTATTAATCCTTCTGTATCATTATAATTGTCTCATTTTTCTTTTCATTCGTCCCACTAAATTTTTCTCATATTATCTCTGTCTTGAAAAAGTTCATCCTATTGACTTTTGTTGGTCGATGATTGCAAACATTGAACAATGATTTTAATTATTATTTTATATATAATTTATAAATTTTAAAATTTTATGAAATTATTTTGAATAAGGAATACTTTGACATACTTTTCATATTCAAAATAATTTCGTATTAAGAAATATAATTGGTCAAAGTTGATTGTCATTGATCGAGAAAACTCAATTAGGCGAATCTTTTTGAGATGGAGACAATCTCATACTTCGCAATATTTGTGTGGCTTTGTTCATTCTTATTAAGCATTTAAAACAATATCATAATATTCTAAAATATAGTTTTCATAATATTAAAATACTCCGTATATAGTAATATTTGTTATTTGTATTGTAAATTAATTTATACTACCTCCGTCCCTTTTTATTTAGCCAAATTTGACATTTCCAGTCAAAGATGATAAATTTTGATCCATTATTTTAACTAATATATATATATGTGTGTGTGTGTGAAATTTAATAAATTTATACTTTTATGATAGTGCGTTCAACAAAGAACATTTTCATATTATCAATATTACCGTGTATAAATATATAAGCGGTCAACGTTGAGCATCATTGACTTGGAAAATAGCGATTGGCTAAATATAAAGGGACGGAGGGAGTAATATAATTTGGCACGACTTTCATATTAAAATAGATATATTACATATTTTTTTAAGGTAGTAAAATTGCATTTATGGGTTCAAAAGTTTTTTAAAATTAAAAAGATGTTATTTTTGGAAAAACAATAAAAACCGGGATTTTCCGGGTTTCTCGGGGTTTTTCGGTCCTGCTCCGAACCAAAATTTTCCGGGTCAATCAGGTTTTCCCGAGTTTTAACTAACCAAACAAGGTTTTGGACCGGGTTGACCTAGCCCGATCGGGTCAGTTTTGTAAACATAGCTAAAAGTGTTAACAAATAATATCATATACTACGGATAGTTATTATTTATTTATGTCCCGTGCATCGCACGGGTGAAAATCTAGTCTTCTTAACAAAGCCATGGCGTCCCTTCCCTCGAAACCTATCCCTCTCTCCTTCATTCTTCCCGGGTCGGAATCCACAATCGGCCCGTGGCTGTAAACCCTTCAAGGCCCGAAACGATCTTCTGTTCTCTGTGACCCATAATCTCAACTACTCCGCTAACGAAGTCCGCTCTTCATTACACGATGACTGCAATCCGAATCCCCCGCAGGAAGCTGTTCTCAAGGCAATTTCAGGTTCATTTTAGTCTTAAGTTAAATGTTTCTTATCTGTTTTCCAGTGTCTTTAGGTGATTCGCCTCATTATACTGAGCAATAAAGTCCCGAGCTCTCTTTTGGTGAAAATCAGAAACATGGAAAAAGATGATTCATAATGATTATAATTAGGATAATGATATATGTTCAGGGTAAGAAAATTCTGAGAATGGTAAAAGATTTCTCAATTTACCCCAATTGGAGGAGGCTGAGGAGCCATGGCGGGACAATTTTGGAGTAGAGTTTGAGAAATACCTGCCATTTCCTGAATTTTGTGGAGTCCCTCCTCACTTATCAATGTGCTTGTAATTAGCTTGTTAAGTGGTTATACAACTTTTCTAAATAATTCATCCGTTTTCATAGTAATTATTAATTAATTTGTGTTAATTGTAATGATGCCCCACCGTAGGTGGGAGCCTTTGTGGCACTGGGGTAAATGAAAATGAAATGTGTTAATTGTAATGATTATACACTTGGACAAAGACTGATTAGATGACCTTATTTGTCTGTAACCTTACAAAAAGAGTGATGTAATACTCTATTATTAGGAAGATTTTGAATTGAGATTAGGCGGAAAAAGGTTAAAGTTGGCATTACATGATCTCTTGAATTTACAAAATGAGTTATTTGTGGAACAATTTTTTTAAATCCAAAAAAACAAAAAAGCACTTGATATTAAACAGATGGAATTTAAGTAACGATTCTCATCATCATCGTCGTCGTCGTTTCCCCAGTGTCGCAAAGGCCACCTACAGTGGGGTCGGGGGGTCGGGATGTGCACGGTCTTACCCCAGTACTAAAGCACATAAAGGTTGTTTCCGGACGACCTATAGTGAAAATCGCGTCAAAAATTACATGGATTGACTGCTGCTTCATAACAAAGAAGCGCAAACAGTTTATTGAGTCATTTTGCTTTATTCCACTATATTCCCAAGCCAAAAAATAGTGAGTCTTTGGTTCCATTGCAAATGATGGAAATTAAGTAACGATTCTTTAATTTTATGGTTGAAATTTGGAGAATGGCAGGTAAAGGAAAAATGATAACAATGAAAATGATTTCCTAGGACTTACCAGTGTCTTTTTTAATATTCTTGTGTTCTTTTTTGGGAAACTAAAACATAGTTTGAAGTTATAGAATATGTATGATTTATTTAGTTCATTATAGTAGTAGATTTAATTGACTCATCTGTTATGTACAATTAAGTAGTTCAAATAGTCTTTGGTTCCATTGCAAATTGTACAATGGATTCTAGGGTTGCCCAATAAATAGTTGCAATACTTGTTTCACTCATCTGTTAGGTACATTGTATCATCGAATGTTACTTATCAATACCCTCTATATATATTTTCTAACCATATGCTTTGTTTTTTTTGATGTGTTATACTAGTATTTTGACGGTAATATTGTATAATTTTAAATTATACTAGTAGATTTTTATAGCAAAAAGAACATTATAAACATTCCCGCGCTATCCCTGAGGCCCAGCCTATTTGTATTGTCCCGGGCCCATAAAATGTCAGGACCTGACCTGCTTCTACACCAACTCTATTTTCTTCTTATCCAAAAAAATCGAACTTCGTCTCTTTCTCATATCGTAACTTCTGGTGTTTTTATATTCTCCATTTATTCTGTTCGTTCTTCTTCTTTCACATCATTTTTTTTTAAACCTTCTTTCACATCATTATTTATTTGATATTTGGGTTTGACATTTTCATACCATTTCCACTCGACATACTTAACATTAGATCATCTGAGAATGAAAAATAAAATGAAAAGTGAAAGAAATAAAATGAATAAAAGGAAAGGAAAGATTGAATCGAGTGGAAACAAAGGCAAGAGAACTAAATAATATAGATCGGTTGGATAGAAGTAGACGAAGGATAGACTGAGAAACACCAAGGAAGAAAATATATTTGAAATTAATTGACTGGATTTTCATTTGAGGATGACTGGATGCGGTGGGTGAAGTTGGCTTGCAGCGGAGCTTGGTGAAGATGAGAGACGAAATCGCCTGCGAACATGGAGCCGACAAGCCTCGGCAACGGGGCTCGGAGCGACGCCGATAAGCAGATATCCTACTGAAATGGCGGACTCCAGTAAGTGAAAGATTAATTCTTGGGGGATTGGTTGCAGAGGGAAGGCAAGAGATTGGTGGTTCGTACAGTCCGGCGGCGAAGAGAGGAACAGGGAGGAGTTGACCGAAGAAAAAAGGCAAAGAAAATGTAAAAGAAAGGAAATAAGAATTGTGATGCCAACTAAGTGGCTACTAAGGGCCACGTAAGCAACTTGACTGGGAAACCGGGGAGAGACCGGCTAAAAAGCCATTTTGATTGTTTTTTTATAAGTTGAAGGGGTTGATTGAATGATTATTTAGTACGAGGACTTAATTGACTTTTTCGTTAAAGTATGAGGACTTATTTGACAATTTTCCCAAATATGTTTGATTGCCTGAGGTATACCAGTGAGAGGGGAAATATGGATTGGTGAATTTGATTCAAGCATCTTAGGGCTGGGCTGGTTTTGGGATTTCAGAGGTGGGGTGAGGGGATGATTTATTTTTGTGTTACTAATTTATCTATATTTACTAGACTAGGATTAAGAATGTGTTTAGTTAGATCCTATATTTCTATATAATTTTCTCTCTTCTCTCTTTTTGTTTTATTTTTTATCTTCTTTATCTTTCTATGTTCTTATATTATTTTTATCTTTTATCTTTCTTATGTTCGTTTATCTTTTTACGGAGTATCTTTTATCTTTCTTATGTTATTTTTATCTGATCCATTTTATCTTACTTTATCTTTTTATTTTTCTTATCTTTCTTCTCTTTTTGGCTATGATATCATGGATAGATTCATGTTAGCCGATCCCAAAATCCTTTGGGAATAAGGCTTGGATGTTGTTGTATTCTCTTTGAACTATCTAATGAAAGAATACATTAAAAAGTAAATATCACCCCTTCCCTTGGCTTCCATCCACTCCCTTTTAGTTTTTTTTTATTTATATTTATGTTTTATGTTTTATCTCTCCATTGTTTGAATATTTTCAGTATTTTTTTTCATGAATGTAGACTGACTATTGATGGGGTTGCAGAAGTGTCAAAGGTAGAAGGAAGGATCGGACAAACCACAAATTTAGTTATGGGAGGGACTGTTCATGATGATTCAACTAATGAGTGGCTTGTCTTGGATAAAAAGGTAATCTTTATAATAACCTCTTTTGCAAAGGCGCTTAATGGGACCTGCTTAATTGGGTCCCTAGCCAGTCTAAAATTCTAAATATGATCAGACGTAGGAACTTCATATAGCCCAATCATTTAGACTGGTATGTTAGGTGTTTTTTAAGGAAATGTCATAGTTATAGGCGTTTCCTAGTCTGAATGCTTGGAGTGTGATGCTTGATTTAGCACTGATATCACCTTCCTCTAGGGTGTGTTAGGAAGGAAATTTAATTTGGGGAAAAATAAAATAAAACTGATTTGAACTCAACAAGTCAATTATAAATATTTTAAAATCCGTTTTATTTATATATTTACATCATGTATAACAACAAAAACATTCATGCCTTTCTATTCCCGAAAGAGTTTGGGATTGGTTAATATGATTCGTCATATGATATCAGAGTTTAAAACAATGAATTGAGAAAAAGGAAGATGAACAAAATTATATCAATCCTCCATACATATATGATGTATATCATATTGTATGATATACATAATTATATATATATAACATATAAACACTAAAAAGTCTAAACATGTGTACTAAAAAAAGTCTTAGTATAAAATGATGGAACCCATTCAAGTAATGAAAATGTTCGTTGAAATAAAAATTAGCTTAATGAACTAATTTTAGATATTTATTTATCGCTATCATATCAAAGCTAAGAAGTCTATATATAGGTTAAAAACTAAATTTTAAAAGAAATCATTTTATGTTTTCCATTTCATTTTCCAGTCTTTGGCTCTCGTCTAAAACAACCACCCCACCCCACCCCACCCCCTTCCCACAAAGTGAGTCATGTTTTTAAAGTTTTTTTGTCCTGAAAGAGGTGTCTCACTTCACCAAGTAGAACAAGTTGGTCATGTGGTTGCATTACTTTAGCAGGTGTACATTGCCAAAACAAAAGAATTGTACCTTGACCAAATAGGACCTTTTTTGGGATGGAGATAGTAGTAGTTTTATGTGTTGTTAACATGCAGGTAAATTTGTACCCAACAGAAAGAATGTTTACAGCAATTGGAACTGGAGGGGATGATTTTGTGCAGGCTATGGTAGTTGCAGTAGAATCAGTTATTCAGGGATCTATCCTTGAGGTAGTAACATACTTATGCTTATGCAACGTATATTTTTGTGTGTGATCACGAATTCTCTACCATTGGCTGTAATGTTGGACCAAGACATTAGATTTTGATTTTTGCACAATTTCAATTATCTTCATGCTTAGAATTCTTGTGAGCTGAAGTTCTCTTTTAAAGATTATGACTATTGTTTCTTTTGTGCTAATGACTCGAAGTACTACGTCACTTTTTACTACTCCCTCCGCCTCGTTAATATTTGCCAACTTTCCTTATTTGGCCATCCCAAAAAGCTTTGTTTCCTTTAACAAATTTGTGCTTCATATTATATCTCTCTTCTACACAATTTTCAACCACACAATTTTTACTTTATTATTCCACGTGCAAGTTAATATTGGCCAACCTTATGGGGCGGTGGGAGTATGTCATAGGAAAATGTAACATATTAAAATCCTGTTTATTAGGGTTCATTGATGCATTATCAGCCTTATTAGAAAGTTTTCTCCTCGAAATGCCAACATGCTTAACTTCACTGGTTGAATCGGTTGACAATGAAAAAAACAGTGGCTGCGGTGCAAGAGTTACTCTGTATTGCTTAAAACTGTACTTGTAGTTTATCTTTAAGATAATTAATTTCTTTAAATTACATAACCATATAGAGTCAATTACCGAAATAGGAGTAAATCATAGTCAAAGTGCAATTATAGGAGTACAAGTTTTAAATTCCCAAGTAGGAGTTCTTATACCTTTTTTACCCTTCACTATATTTTCATAACAAAACCCTAGCTTTTTCGTAATACAAAAAACATGATATTTCAGTGGGTTTGGATAAATGTAATTTACTAAATTATGGGAGGGTATAAATGGAATAGGTAGGGACTCCTACTTAGAAAATAAAAACATAATAGTCCTATTTAGGCAAGATGATCATTTTGTTTTACTTCCATTTTGGGCAATTTCTTAAAGATGTAAATATGTTATCCATCTGTCCACTTTACTTTTTGACAATTACAAATGCAACAAATGAAACAAATACTTTTTACTTTTTCAATTTGTCTCCCCTCTCACTTATTCTATAATATATTAATATTCACTTCCCCTAAACTGTACTCTAAATTTCTGTGAGAAAACTACCATAGTGATCGAGTGAGTAATTGTGAACAGGGGAGGGAGTATTTACAGCACTTTTGTGTTAGAAAATTCATCAAATTTAGCCACAAATTCAGGAATTTGATACTTTGTATCTGCCTATATATATGACAAAATGGCAGCTTAGCTAAAAGGTTATAGTAAATGAGTTCTATATATCATTTGTTTCGAATAATGCATCTACTTTTGGTGCTGTTCGAACCTGGAAGGTGAACAACATGATACTTACTACGTACTACTTATGAAGAACTGCAATGTTCGTTCTTATTTGAATGAAAGAAACAAAATTGTAATTTTAACCTTTACAAAATAAATCTCTGAGCAGGGGCAGGTAAAGAAGAAGGATTCCTCAGGGGGGAAGTATGTATCAGTGAATATTGGACCTATTCTAGTTCTTAGTAGTGAACAGGTTCTCTCTCCCTCTCATGTGTGTGTGGGCTTTTGTGTATATATTGAAAGACAACTTCACCGAAAATGTCAATGGGCGAGAAGTTGGAAAAAGTGCTCCATAATTCTTTTTTATAAGACACTCCAAGGAAAACTAAGGCCTTGTTTGGATTCCAATCCATGAGTTTAAGCTGTGGCGTGCACCTTTGCATTAGGGAATTCCTGACTTTTCTCAGTTCCTGAAATTAGTGGCAATCACATTCCTCCAATACCCACTGGTTCTGCCTAATTTCCTAAAAGTTAGGAAACTAATTAATGTTTTAATTAATTTTCCTACATATGTTTAGTTGTTTAGGTTTATTTATGCAAGAGAAATACTAAAAAAATGTAAGAGAAATATATGGCACCCAGAGTTGAATTGTTGAGTTTGAACCACCCCCACTTCCCTTTTGTTCCGAATCCCCCTTCTATTTTCTTTTATTTGTTCTTACCTTATCATTTTCTTAAGGAGTCCGTCTGAAATTCTAAAAATAATAGGGAAGAAGAACACAAAGGAAAACATAGATAAAAAATATAAGCAAATATAACGTTGTGGAAAATAAAAGATTTGCTACAACTCAATGACTCTATATTAAAAACATTTTCAATCTTTTTTATTTTATTTACTTCTGTTATGTAGCGACTATGAAATCTAAATATATTTAAGAAAATAAATCATACGAAGTATTTGGTTTTGTTTTTGCATATTTCAGGTAACTTAAACATGGAAAATAATTTCCATGAGCATTTTGTTTCTGTTATGTTACCCAGCATTGTCTGTAATCCAGACTTTCTGCTATGATTTCATTTGAAGTGGAAATCACAACAAACTAAAGAAATTTGAGCAAAGGTAGTATTATGAAAATGAAAACAGCATTTTGATGATGTGATTCCGCTGTGTGTTCTTTTTCCAGGTTCAAGCTGTATATAACGCGATGAGAAGAGACGACCGAATGAAATACTTTCTGTAACTTACTACCATTTGCTGTAACCTATAGAGAGGTCTCTTTCTCAACACCTGCAGAGGACATCCACCTAACATGTTACACCAGTCTCCTCTTTTACCTAGGTTTTGTTCCTGTGTAGCTCTAGCATTTCGTTCGAAAAAATTGTTTTACCGCACACCACAGTTTCATTCATCTGCCACTACCTTGGGTAGTGACGTCTGAGATCAACTGTAATTCAGTAAGAGCAAGAGTTAGTTCTGAATACTGTTTATTAGCGTACTATTGTAAATAAGAAAACAGTCAAAATGTGAACTTGTTTGGTGGGAGTCTTAGTTTTGGGAAGTTGGAACTCAGAACACTGGATATTCGGCACTTCTATCCTGATTAGGATGATATTTATAATTGTGATGGCTACTGACTACTGTGCAAAAGTAAGACTAGAAGAGCAAGAGCATGCTTCTACACAAAACTGCAAAAGTTGGTAACTTTTTGATTTGCTATTATTAAAAGTCTCTTAAACATTCTAGTTGTGTCACTTGTGTGTTTGATTTAATAATTTTTTTGAGAAGTTTGCGTCTTTTATCAGACATTACGCAGGGTAGTGTTTAATATGAAAAACTTCTTCATTTTTTCATATTTTCATTTCTTTATATAATCTTGTGTCTTCAAGGCTCAAGCCTTTCATCTTTTCCAACTTCATTTAACGCTGTGCCTTTCATTGTGAATATCCCCAAGTTTGCAATTTGTAAGTATATTCAGAGCCCGTTTGGTAGCACCAAAATCGGCTGTTTTGGCTGATTCTGCTGAAATTTATGATATTCTGGCTGGAGTGGCTGTTTTGGCTGATTCTGCTGATTTAAGAAAAAAATATTTTAAAAATAAAAAGATCCTTTTGCTCTTTTGATTCAGACAAATACCGAAGAAAGGAATCCGGATCTTTCAATGCATTATGGTAGGTATAGGGGAAAGTCAATTATGGCATCAAAAGGAACAGACAAATTGCCTATTTTTTCTTTCATCTCGGGAGAAAGCCGATCTGTAGGAGCTAATTCAAAACCATCAATTCCTGCCAATAGCCTCGCCAAGAAATTAAGAACATAAATCTATTTTATTAATAAATTAAAGAAAAAATTATATGTAAAAATAGCTAAAATGGTCCTCTACAGTAACTTCAGTCAATACAGCCAGAAAAGTAACTCCAACCTTACTTTTTCGGCTTATTACACAATTCAGCGCGCGAAAGTAAAAGTTACGTGTTTGGTGAAAAAGCTGGCTGATAAGCCTGATAAGCCGAAAACAGAGTTCTCCAAACGGGCTCTCAATCTTCTTCCCCATTGTGGTTGTCTTTGTTGAACTCTTTCATCCATCTATGTTCTTGGCGAAAGGTTTTGCTGATTTTTTATAGTTTTGTTTCATAAATCATAATGCATAGCCAAAATTTGTATTATATTACCATTTGATAAATGTTAGGAAAATCTCACTCATACTTTTACGAAAAGTCGATTAACTTGTCATATTTTTTTTAAAAATCAATCAAAATCTTGAACTTTGTACATATGTTCAATACTTCAATTGAGTTCTTTAGCAAGTCACCCGTCACGTCATCAAGGCACTAGATGATATGGCGTACACATTGTTGTATGCATATCTCGAAAAATTGCAAAACAAATAGTTAAACAAATAATTATGATAAATGAGAAGTGTACGGAATTGAGTACTATGAGGAGGATTGAACGTAGCCCGAGAGATGCTTGTTATCTCCTTAAGACAAATTTGCCAACTAGCAATTGTCTCCCAGGATAGAATGGTTTTTCGTTTCCGAAGGATTCTGACAAATCAAATGATGCACTAACGGGTAAAGTTCTGGATGAAGAGGAAGAAGCAAACTTCGTGATAAGTTTCAGACTTGTTGGTTGTGTGTAAAAACATAGGAGCCAGTTGGGATAAAAGTACTAGTCATGGACTCGGGTCGGGCCGCCCGATACCTAGTTATAGGACCGGTCCGGGCCACTCGAGCCTGGAATTAGTCGGGCCGGGCTCGGGCCTCCTAAAAGTGGAACCGGCCCGATTTGGGCCCAGAACCGGCCCGGCCTATTTCTTTTTTTAGTTTTTCAATTATTCAATTTTTTTGGTTTCTCCCGGGTTGGTCTGGGTGTTTTGGGAGGGTTTGGGGGGTGGGGGTGGGGGGGGGGGGTGGGGGTTAATTAGAAAAACAAAAGAAATTTAAAAAAAATAACATGAACCGACCCGACCCGGAACCGCCGGTGCCTACCTGGGCCGGTTCCGGTTCTTCCTTCCCAAAAAAAAAAGCTTGGCCCGGCCCGAGTCCATGACTAATAAGTACTCTGGTCAGGAGACTAATCCCAAAAGGCACATATTTAGGAAAAGGGTTGCAACTTTTCTTCTAAGTGTTGCCTTATCTGAAATTAATTATACAGAAAATAAACTCTAAGTCTTAAAGCCATGTCGGGTATCCACCTGTATCCGAAACTTGACCCCACCCAGCCGGGCGGCTGTCAACGGCGGTGGCGCGGGACAAGTTTTACATGAACATTGTTTCAGAGAGAATTTCGGTATACAATTTTTCATTCATTTTAAAATGATTTTCTATAAATAATAAATAATTGTAAAACCATTTTTCCAACACATGCGCGCGGTCCACGTGTGCGTCACGTAATCGGTAAATGACTGATTGTGCTTTCACAAGTGTGCCATGTCAGCAAAATCAGTGATGATTGAGTTGCCACTTGTGTGTCACTTAAAAATAGTTTTCAATTTAACGTTTTTACAATGTTCAGAGATTTGATTGATTTTTTTAAAAGTACGATAAAGACGAAATTGATTTTATAGTTTTCGTGATATTATAAGGACGAAATTGGTAGTTTTCCATTTTGATTACAAATGTAATTGTTCTTACCGTATACTACCTCCGTCCCTTAAAACTTTGTCAAGTTTGACTGGCACGGGGATTAATAAAGTAAAAACTGTGTGGTTGATGTTTGTGCAGTGGAGAGAGAAGTAACTGGAACCACAAATTCTTTACTTAAAAGAGAAAGTGACAAAGTTAGTGTGACATCCAAAAAAGGAAAGTTGACAAAGTTTTAAGGGACAGAAGGAGTAGATTTTTGGTCGTTGGTCCAACGGCTAAAGTTTTTCTACTCCAAAGTCAATGATTATTGACCGTCCATATATTATGTGGCTTAGAACTGTAGCAGTAAAACATGTTCGATTGCTGTTTCCGTCGTAGCGCGTGATCAAACCCCACCGGGCATCAAGCGTTTAAGCCCGTACTTCACAAACGCAATATGATTGGTCCATAATGAGGAGTCTGCGTGGCGCCAATCCACTTCTACTTATAAACCACTTGCAGCTTCAGCGCGTGAGTTCCCACTCGCCAATAGGGGCGGATCTCATCTTCTTTGCCTAAGGTCTCAACTCTCACGAACTCAAGCTAAATAGAGAGATAGAGGGGAAGGGATCGGGAAAAAACGGGAGAGGATGAAGCTGCTGTCGGCGGCGTTGTTGGTTGCGGCGGCGGCGCTACTCACCGGAGAAGCAGTGTGGCTGGATTTGCCGAGAGAGGGGACCAAGTGTGTGTCTGAGGATATCCGAAGTAATGTCGTGGTTATAGGCGACTACTATGTAATACACGAAGAGGAGCACGTCGCCGGTAACGCCGCCGTTCCCACCATCTCCGCTAAGGTAACTCGTAATTGCCGGAGCTCCGATGTTGGGCTTGACCTGCTCGGTCAATTTTTTTCTTATGCTTTACTAGGGATTATGGAAGCTGAACTCTGTAATTGCTCTGTGCTGGAACAATAACTGAATAAAGTGCATAATTTTATCAGCAAACGAAGACTCTAATTACAATTAAAAAGTTAAGATCATCACATTGACGAAGCACCTTTTTGCAGTCTAGTAGAGTGTTTTGTTATTGCATTTTCTGTTCTTGCTAATTAAATATTATCTTTTTTGTGCAATTATCATTTTTGGTCTCAAATGTTGCAATTTAGTCATAAAAGTACCTTTAGCTTTATGTATTATGATTGCTATAAAAATTTAGTCTTTGGTTAAAAATATGATTGATAAGAAGGATGATAAGCCAAATTAGTCAATTACCAAACGTCTGATTCCTTTTCCTTGAGTCTGTTTCATATAAGTATGAACTCTTATGTCATAGATCTTGTCCCATTCAACTAATTTCGAAGCCTGTTCTTATAAAGAAACAATTTTCTTTTATGATAAGCATTACGAGTGATTATTTAATTGTTAAAGCATTTTTGCCATTTTTGTTTGAAACAGGCTCCTTTTTTATTGAAGTACTTTTCTTCTTTTGTAAAGTTCTTAACCCTTGAAACAAGTCATCCCAACACGCTCGAGGACTTGCAAAATGAGAGTACTTTCGAAGTTTTCCAGAAACATTTTTTTTTGAAACAATGAAAGCCTAAATTTATCAATGTGCTTCTCTGTCAGGTGACATCACCATATGGAAACAATCTCCACCATCAAGAGAATTCAACTCATGGCCAATTTGCATTCACAACATCTGAGGCTGGTGACCACTTGGCTTGCTTCTGGGTTGCCTCAGGCGCTAGTAGTAAGGGTGTCATTGTGGGTCTTGACTGGAAAGTAGGAATTGCTGCCAAGGATTGGGATTCAGTTGCCAAGAAAGAAAAAACTGATGTAATAAGTTCACTTCATCTGACTTCTCCCCCTCAACTTGCAGGGCTGAGAGCCATTCTTTCCTGGGTTTACTTACATTTAAGTTTTCCTTTGCAGGGTCTTGAACTTGAATTGATGAAGCTTCAAAGTCTTGTGGAGGCCATCCATGATAATTTAGGTTATTTGAAAATTAGGTAAGTCCCTTTGGTAAGTTTTATATAAATTCGTTTTCTTTTGGTTGATCACGTTGGTCAAGCCATCTAGCTAGGGTGGAAACAGGTCTTTGTTGTGTTTAACCTGAGCCTGACCTGTTAAAGGCTTATTTTTTACCTAAGCCTAGCTTGTTAAAGCATGTTAACAAAAATAAAAGTTATACAAAAGAAATTGAATCAATTCCAAAAAATTAAATAAAAACTCACAAATCATTTTAACATACTATAAAGTTATCACAAAAATCATTAAATAACTTGATAAATGATACTCCGAAATACACTAGTTATATATGTTATGAAAGACTTTAAATCTTGATAGCCTTAATTACCTAAAACACATTGTATATATTTATATATATTTCACTAAATAATATACACACAAATATACTTATATATAGGACGATTAATTGGTCACTGACTTACTCCCATACGAGAGGTCTCGAATTCGAAACTCCGTGGAGCTCCCCTAGCCCCTGGGGTAAAAAAAAAGGCCGACTTGTTAAGTTCAGCGAGCTTCAGAGTTGAGCTAAGCCGAACCGTATTACATAAATGAGTTTTTATAGTCCAAACATAGCATATTTATTAAACATGTCAAAAATCATTTGACGACCTTCCCGATCGAATTTTGAGCTGAAATTTGGTATGGACAAACTAGACTGGATGAGGAACATGCTCAAAAAATTTCATCAAAAAATTCCACCGGGAAGGTGCCCAAACGGGCTCGGCCGGACGGGGCAGCCCGTCAGGCCGGCCTGACATGAAGTTTTCTCTCTCTCTCTCTATATATATATATATATATATATATATATATATATATCCCTATTTAGTCATATATGAGACATTATTTCTATTCTTATAACATGTGTTTGTGCACAAAAAGTAAAAATGTGAATTGGTAACTTGTTCTTGACGAAGTCGTCTAACACAGTTGTCCTATTTGTAACAAATTTTAGAAGATGATTTACCACAAGTAATTATGATGGTTCGCACTTCGCAGAAAATATTTTTCAGTTTTTTGAGTAAATTTTTTACAAATGGTGATTTAAAATTTTAAACACATGTTTCTCCAAAATTTTAAGCTATTTAAAGCTAAAACCTCTAAACAACACATAGTCATAATTGTGTTTCATGATACGGACTCTTCTAGCAAACACTTAATTTATAATTTCAAACTTTCATTTGAAGAACTATCATGTTTTTAAATGTAAGCACTTTCTCAATAGGCTTTAAAATAAACTTTATACAAGCATAAACAAACGCAAACGCTACCTTTGAATGCAGACTTTTGAGCAGGACAGGCTTTTGTAATTTACCACAAATTATGTGATAAATTTGAATGTTCATTTAATAGTTTAATTTTTGAGTTGTAAATAACTAGATATTTTTTGTGGTGCAGGGAAGCTGAGATGAGGGAGGTGAGCGAGAGAACTAATGGGAGAGTAGCATGGTTTAGCATATTTTCTCTTAGCATCTGCCTATTCGTTTCTCTGGTGCAAGTTTGGTATTTAAAGCGTTTCTTTCGGAATAAAAAACTCATTTAGTTTCAAGGATATTATTATAGCATCAACGATAGGTTTTTACATTTTTAATCATCCCACTATCCGTACCATTACATCTTCTAGATTATTGTTGTAATATTAATTATGTACTATACTACGTACAGAGAGTAATATACATGTTTTTTTAGTTTTGTCCAATGTTAGCACACCCAACCGGTTCGGGCGGGTTGACCCAGAAACCGGAGACTGGCTAGGCATTCCAGATCGGATACAGGCTAGCCCGCGAATTAGCTAAAACCTGCCCAAACTTGTTGGCCACTTCGAACCACACGTTGACCCGGTGACCCGCTACTTGAAAACCTGTGACCCGTGACCTAAAAAAATGTGTAGTCGAAGGGTGTCCGGTGTCATCACATCCTTGTTAGTTTACTAACGTATAGGTTATGTTGTACATGTATAATTCATAAACTTGTCATTCATTCTCAACATTTCCGTTTATGATTTTTTTCGGAAATATGGGAGAAATTTACTCATTTCAAGGGTGTATACATACGTATTATATTTAAAAAATCAGGCCATTAAACTAAAGTGAAGTATCTAGCTGCCCAATATTATTTATAATGCATTAGAAATTATTATGTTTTATTGTTTGTTAATTTTTATACTTTCTTAAATGCTAACGTGTATTTTACACTAAATGTTAATTTTTAGCCGTATTTTATACAGTCGTAAAGTATAATTAACAATATACTATCTATGTTGCTAAGGATAAGCGAGCGAGAGCTCCTAGGGCAAGCCGCCTCTTGTCCCGCCTCTTGTACCTACGGGTACCGGTCTGGTCCCGGGTACCCGATCGGTCTCGAATCTGGTCCCGGGCTGGTTCGGCCGTTTTTTTAATTTAATATATTAGTAATTTAAATAAAAAATGTTACACATAAAAAGTAAAATGTAAATTTATTCGAAACATTACATTAACTTAGACATTTGCAAATTACAACTGAGAACAGTTACATATATTTTTTATTCATCGTCACTTCCGCTTGCATCAACTCTTGTCATTTCCTCCATGAAATGACGGGGCGATGCTATGTTAACTTCTTGAATTCTATGGCGGACCTTCAACCAATCGTTGAACCAAATGAGCGTCTCGAGAGATTGCACGTTTAACCTCATTCTATAATCGATTAGGGCGTTGACGGGTTCATAGACTCCTTGTTTTCCTTCCATCATTGGAGAATATCAAACTTCCCCCCTTCTTCATACTCAAGCTCGTTAATCAAGCTTTGTGCAACGACAGGAGTAGATTTACTTTTTTCAAAAGAGTAGATATTGGAGATATAAAAATACTTTTTTCCTTTAGATGAAGAAGTAGTGATTTCAGCGTAGGGGGGGTTTGTACGTTAGTATATTGTGTGTGAAACTCATTAAATACATTATGAAATAGAGTACTAAACTCATTGAATTGCGCTTGAGGATCTATAGCACCGTACATAGGCAACTTATCGTAGAAACAAGTATAATAGTACTCTAGAAATGTTTTATAATTAGCAAGTTTGAAACGAGGATAAAAACGAAAGCAATAACATATATAGGCGGAATGTAAGCATAATATTTTAAAAACTTTCTTTCATGAAATCATAAAAATAATGCACATAAAGGACTTGGAAAAATTCTTGGAAAGCAATAGTGAGATTAACAGCTGCTATAAAAAATACTAGTAAGTGTATAAACATGAGAAAAGGATTGAGTAGTGTTATGAATATAAACCAACACGTTGCAAAGTTTCTTCATGGTGTCTATCTCAACCGGCTCTATAATGTAGTTATTAGTTTTTTCCAGAAAAGCATCAAAATGCTTATTAGATCTAAGAACCGCAGAAGTTAATTTATACTACCTCCGGCCCGGTGGACTTTGTCAAGTGCAAAGTATGTGACAAATAAAAATAGTCAAAACTGTGTGGTTGAGATTTGTACAGAGGAGAGAGAAATGTGCAGAACCACAAATTAGTTGCTTTAATAGGAAAGTCACAAAGTTTTATGGAACAATAAAAAAGGAAAGTTGACAAAGTTCAATGGGACGGATGGAGTAATTAAATACTACGCAAAGATATTGTAAATACCTTCGAAATGAGTAATCAATGTCTATTCATGTAGTGCCTTCCTCTAATTCCAATGAATATGTAAGGGTGTGTTTGCTAACGCTTAATAAAAGCACTTTAAGCTTTTTTTGTAGGGTAAAAACTAAATGTAGTGTTTGCAAAAGAAAAATTCAACTTAATTTAATCACTTTTAAGCCAAAAGCCAAAAGCAGGCCCGTGGATAAGTTCAACTTTTGGGATGTTTTTATTTCAAAATATTTAAATTAATCCAAAACTACCCTTATCCAAGCATCGTACAGACTGTAAAACAGATCATCTTCCATATCCCAACAAGCATCGTACGCGACATGGCCAAGATCAACCTTCCATCATCCAAAAATTGCCGCAAGCGATGTGCTTCGCCACCACCGGTCCACCACTCTTCTTCACCGCCACCATGGCTGGTCTGCTTCGTCTGCCAAATAGAAATTCTTCATCGCCACTCCCCGCAGCAGATCTGCCTAGCTCGCCGCCGTCGGTCTATTTCGTCGCCGCCGGTCCGCTTTGCCGCCGCCGTTGTTACCTCTGTTGTGCCCAGATGCCTTTTACCCTTGTTCTATGTAGAATTCCCTTTTCATCCGTATGCTAATTATAATTAGCATACTCTTAAAAATTGAAGATCTTACTTGCTCTTCATGAAAATTGAAGAGCTATACATGGTAAATGAAATTCCAGTGACTCGATGATACATCATAGTAAATTGAAGTGGTGAAAATTGAGGAGCCATCTCCGAACTTCAAGCTTCATACGTAGTATACATATATTTACATATATTAAAAATTCGACCTGGGGACCGAGGGGCACACATAAACAGTCTGTATAAGTTTTTGGAGAATATTTTGGTACTTTAATAAAATATAACATTAAAAATCACTATTTTATCAAACACTCCAACTTCTATATTTTAATTAAAAGTACTTCTATTTCCAAACACTATCAACTTTACTACAAATCACTTTTTCAATAATTTCTTTAAAAAATCACTTTTAAAAAACACAAGCAATCACAAACACTCCCTAAATATGTCCTACACGACAACGACAAGACACTATTAGCATGTATTCCAATTTGCTAATAACTAGTCAAAATAACTAATACTCCGTAGTCCGTACAACCTCCTATCAATCTGAGATACAATTAAATACTCACTCATCTTTTATAATTTTGTCAACATTGAGTGACACGTAGAATAATAAAATAAAAATTATTGAAATTGAGATTTGTGCATATGAAAAAGAATTAAATCCAAAGAATAAATTATTTATCTAAAAAATATACTAGTAGTTGACAAAATAATAACTTTGTCAACTTTTCTTTTTTGGATGTCCCATTAAATTTGTCATTTTCTCTTTTAAGTAAAAAAGTTATGGTTCTAGTTAATTCTTTCTCCTTTGCACAAATCTCAATCACACATTTTTTACTTTATTAATTTTGGTGCTGGTCAAATTTAGCAAAGTTATTAGGAACGGAGGAGTAAGCGAAAGAGGGTATTCCCCATACAAAAAATTGGGGTTTAAATGTAATTTGAGTCGAAGACAAGTACAAATTGTACAATAGTCAATAATCATAATGATTATATGATTGTGACACACACAAACAAAATTATCCAATGAGTGCACAAAAAAACAAACCAATCCAATGAGGAGAAGCGGAACACGAAATAAACCAAGCGCAGAAAACCGAAACCGCCATTCCAAATCTTAGCAGTTAAGTTTTGAGATTCATATTTCACCCCTCCGTTCAATTTCAATACACTCTCATCAATACGGTATAGAGACAGGGGAGTGGAGAAGATCCCTGGAATGGACGGACCGCCGGAGAATGATTTTTGCTCAATATGCCATGGCACCTTCCGCATTCCTTGCCAAGCCAATTGCTCCCACTGGTTTTGCGGTACCCCTTATCTCTTTTTCTCTATGTATGTTTCTTGATGCGTCTGTAAATTCCGGTTCTCTGTTTACCCAAAATGGGATCAGATTTTAGCAGTAAGTTTTATACCGTCGCTCGAAGTTAATAGTAGAGGGCGGCCGGACACTTTGTATTGGTGGCGCAGGCGTTAAGTGCAGAAATAATATGTCGCTAGCCCGCTAGGGTTGCGAATGAAATCAGTCAGTCCATTATACACAAACTCTGCGATTAATTTTCTGAAGGTGGTGATAGTTGGACTATCTTGTCAAAAAATTTCAAATATACGCCATATACCCCTATTAGTTTCTGTTTATTGGCTCAAATGGCTGAACTGTTTGAACAATGCGTTGTAAATCAAAGTCTGCTGCCAAAGTTTGAATCATCGCGATTGTGTTAGGTGTAATTTCATGGTGCGTAAAGGGAAAATTATGCCGCTGACCTTGCTAGCTCTGTTAGCCCATAGGTTGTAAACTTACGTGTTATGACAATATGACGTATGAGGGATAAAGGGTGGAAAAGAGAAGCAATAGAAGGCGGTGAACATAAATTTGGGGTCCTAATTATGAACCATTTGTTCTTTTTTGCTTAATGAACAATTGGTTAAGAATTGAAGAAGTATATGACCAATTGGTTAATGAACAATTGGTTAAGAATTATGGTTCTTGCATAATGGAAAAGTGCCTATTTATTTCCCTGTCTTTCAAGATTGTAGTGATTCTACCCCATCCTAATCTCCCCCATTTCCCCTTTTTTACTCGGTTGTAGGTAATTGTATTCTACAAGTTTGGGATCACGGGCCAGCCTTGCAGCCATGTAAATGTCCGTTGTGCCGTCGCCAGATTACTCTTTTGGTCCCTTCAGATGATTCATCAAGGCAGCGTCGAGCTCCTGATGTATCTGGTGTTTTTACTAAAATTGAACGATATAACGGGTTATTTGGCCCGCGGAGCAATGGACTTATGCAGGTACTTACTACTTTGTTTTTCTTTGTTCCAATTTCATGAAGTTTTTTATAAATTGGTCTTATGCTTGCTTGATTTCAACTATGCTAACTATACTGTGTGCTTGCAAGTTGCAAGAGACTGTATTAAATGAGTTGATTCTTGAATATGAGAGTATCATACTTTGGTTGGGTTGCCTCTCGAGGATCACACAAATTAACATCTCAACATTGATCTCACTTGTTTAGGAGTTAAATAATACCAATATTTTTTTTAAGCCGGAATGATTGTTTGATTTTAGGAATACGGGCTAATTTCATAATTGTAGGATTGTTAACTATTTATTCTGGATGTCTGCGCATAGGTGTTGAATTTCAATTTTAAATAAATCCCACGAGTCCCCAGCATATCAATGCCAGAATATGACTGTCAACCTTAAAACCTATCCACTAAGGCTAGGTTGGGTTCTTATACTACTTTGAATTATACGGATTGAATTTAAGAAAAAGTAACAGCATAAAAGAATTTGAGTATCAGCCTCAACATTTACGCCTTGGCAATAAGGTTAGGAAATCTCTGACTGTATTAATATTGAGTCTATAGTGGGAATGGAATCTGCTGTTTTTTTAAAATAAGCACCAAAATTATACGTAGTACTTTTTACTGTTAAAACGACTTTCGGTGTTCTCTCCGACGCATCTTTTTGAAGTAAAAGTACTTTCCTTCATCCAAAAAGTGCTTAATATCCTGAGAATATATTCCTCTCAAATGCACTCTATGATAATACTTCGTAGAAATGTACTGGTCATGTTGGTGTTTTTCCTCAAATGTTGATTGATCTGTAGTTTTTCATTGTATTTACTCCGTACTATTCAGAATATGTGTCCTGTTCTTTACTTTTATTTGATGTGAAATTGTGAATATGATACTTATGTTTTCCTGAAGACCTCAACTGTCAATTTGTTATTGCTTTTAGTTATCTACCAAATCAAAAAAGTTGCAATGTAATATGGTAACATGCTCCTTTTTTTGAGACAGAAAATGCAAGATCTTCCGTTTCTCCTCAGGAGATTGTTACGAGATATTACAGACCCTCAACGGTCTCTTCCTTTTTTCATCAGGGCACGAGTATATCTGGCAGTTAAGTCATCAATACACATTGTATAACTCTTTTCTTTAGTCAATGTTTTGTCTCTCACAAGTATGGAGAGACTTGGGCCATGTGACTCTATTCTTCTTTCTCTGATATTTTAACGGGCCATTTAGAACCTGGAAAATGCTATGGAAAGTAATGGAGAAAATAGAGAGGAAAATTTCAAGGAAAGAAATTTTGGGGGAATAAATAACAGACTAAAAAATTATTAAATTAATTTTTGGGGCCATTTTTCATTTATTATTTTTATCTTATATGAAGGATAAGAAATCTAAAAGAAGTTTAATGTACATTTCAAAAGATAGTGTTTTATTTTCCTTTTTTCGATGTAAAAACTAAATACAAGGAACTTGGTATTTTCTTAATTTTTTTTTACAATGTCATACGCAAATGCCTAGAATCATACATTAAGCTTGACATTGTGAAGAAAAAGTTATACTCCGTATGAAACACAAAAACCATGGAAACGATTAGCGTGATTTTTTTCATGCTTTTGTGTCTCTCTGTTACCATATATTGCACATCATTGTAATGGAAATGCCCTTAGGCTTCTTTACCGTGAATCTTTTCTGCCTCCCTTCTCCCTTCTTTTTTTACTTGAGACATGAGAATAGTGGTCACAAAAAACCTTTACTGAAGATCTACAGCCTAAGGAGAAATTCAGAAAATGAGTTCCCAGTTTGAAACTGGAAAGGCAATGACTCAATTCCTGAAGTAGTTTTATGTTATTTTGTTTCTCTAGGTCAAATTTATTTCAGGAAAATTAAACTTGTGTTTTGAGAAAATGATTTTCAAGGAAGTCATGGCAAAAATTGATAATGCCTAATGTCATTATCGTTATTGTATTCTTCATTTTGCAGACATTTTTAAGTGTGCTCTATGTCCTCAGCCCTATAGACATTATTCCAGAAGGTACCAACTAATTAAGCTTTCTCTTTTTAACTGCTAAATGGGTTTATGTTGTTATTTTCATTCCAGTAACTGGATTTTCCTTCTTGTCAATCAGGAGTTTTGGGTATAATTGGATTCCTGGATGATGCAATTATAGTGTTCATTTGCTTCCTGCACGTGGCTGCACTCTACCGTGCATTACTGGTCTCACGCCATGGCGGTGGAGTTGCCTCATAGCAGCAGTAATAAGTTTCATCTTCTCTTCCAATTCAAATTACTTTCTTCTGGCTGTGACAGAACAAGCAGACAGACATAGTAGGGAAGCAAATGAAATTCAAAAGGGAGGTGAGGGAGGTGGTGCAGAAATACGTACGTACACTTCCCTTGATGGGGTTGTGCTCCAATTTTGGATTTCCATTAAAGTTCAACGTATAGATAAATGCCATTTGAGGTTATTAATGTTTACTTGGCTCATGCATATGTCATTATGGAACCACAGATGCTACTATCATCCTTATTTGATCTTGTGTTCAATATTAATGTGGTCAACTTAATTCATTTTCAGTTTTCAAAAAAAAAAAACTTAATTCATTTTCAATCAATCTTTGAATTTTGTGTTTTAAACTTTTATCATACTTGCAATTGGTTTTTTGTGATCCAATAAAAATCTTATCGTATTATACAAATATACGAGTATATCAGTATAACGTTAATTATTAATGCTAATTTAATAAAATGCAGATTTCAGTTCAATCGAACAACTGATTTTTACCCCAACCAATTTTGTTTATCGCATAACTCGACTATATCTCTTGTCTTGTATGATAAAGGTGAGTTAAGAGCATGAATAACTCTTAAATAAAAGAGAATTCCCTAAATATGAGTAAAAATGTTTTGAAATTCCAAAATAGGAGTATCATGTTTTTTATCCCTAAATAAGAGTAAATTCCTGCCAAGTTTGGCTTTAACAGACTTTAAACATGGCATTTTTCCCCAAACTTGGCAGATTATTCATATTCAGGGAATAAAAAACATGATACTCCTATTTTGAAATTTCAAAACGTTTTTACTTCTATTTAGGACAATTTTTGTAAATATAGAACTAATCTTTACACATGGATTTCTCAGTTTTTCTAATATAATGTGTACCTAATTAATTTAAGTTGCCTAATGTTTTTCCCAAACCTGTTTGATGATAAATACTACGTATATGATTGAGATTCCTCGTTTGCCTTTGTGGTTTAGGCCTTGTTTGGTTCAAAGGAGGGGAGGGAAAGGGAGAGTCAAGGAGGGAAGGAAAGGGAAGGGGAAAGAAGGCATTTTGATAAAAATTTGAATTTGGTTGGAGGAAATAGGAGGAAAGTTTAATGAAAATATTTTCTCAATTTACCTTTATTTGATAGCTTACTTAAAAAATTAGATACATCTCTAACTATTATGAATATTACACCTAAGATCACGAGTCATAATATATATATATATATATTGATTTTTTTAATTCTTTATAGATCTTTTATTTTTTTAATTTTTAATTTTTTAATTTTTTAAGATTTTTTAATTTTGACATTTTTTATATTATAACATTTTGTCCATTCATGCAGGAGAAAAATGATGGATAGTTTGTCGTTATCAACATGTTTCCTCCGAAATACCCCGATTTGGAGGTTGAGAATGAGAGGAAGTGAAGGGTTTTGGAAGTCTTCGACTTTCCTCCCCTTCCCCCCTATTCCCTTCAACCAAACACACACAAATCACCCACTTTCCTCCCCTTCCCTCCGAAATCCTCCAACCAAACAGAGCCTTAGGGAATTTAACTTCTTTTCTGGTTATAATTATTCTCTTCACTTGAAAGGAGGAAGTTCTTAATGGAGTGGTTCAACTATATATTCTTTATTTTGATCGTCTAACGAGAACCCCAATTGTTTTTAAACAGGGACGGATCCAGGATTCTGAGTCAAGGGGGGCGAAATTTTTCGTTAGTGTAGGGGGTGATTTTTTTTTTTGTTAGTGTAGCGGGGTGAAAATTTTCCCCTAGTGTAGCGGGGCGAAATTTTTTCGTTACTGTAGGGCTATGCGGCTATTTTTATTCAAAAAATGACATTAATACATGCACATCCCGAACGGCATTTAAATCTATTACATTCTAAGTTTAGAAGATGACAAAAACATCAATCAATACATTTTTAATAACTTCTACATTGTTTAACCTCATGAATCGGTTATTGAATTGTAATTTTTGTCCACCAAGGAGGGTGTTCGTGAGTCATGACTCATGAGAAGTTTTCTTAATATTACAATAGTAGTATATTAGTATGTATGGTATTGTTATTTTTAGAATAATGTGCATCACATACACACACACATATATATATGGTGCATATTATATTTAAATATTTTTTATTAATTCTATAATAATTTAAAGTTTATTATCCATGCAATAAATTATTTTTAGAAAGCAAGAAGTATATGAATTATGTAATCTAATGTCTATAAATATTTATATTTTGGATTCATTTCACGTGATCTAAAAATTGTGTAATTAGTGTGTCTTAGTGCTGGACTCGGGCCGGGCGGCCCGAACCGGAACTGGCCCGGCCCGGTTACTGTGTGAACCGGCCCGGCCCGGTGGCCCGGTCCACCGGCGGTTCGGGTCGAACCGGCCCGGTGGATACCGGTTCCGGGCCCGGGCCCTCTATTTGGTTAACCGGCCCGGCCGGTTCGGGCCCGGTCCGGGCCGGAATAATTTTTTTTTTAATTTTTTTTTGAAATTTTTTTAATTTTTGGGTTGGATTAGGTATTTTGGGCCATTTGAGGTGGTTTGGGGTGGTTTGGGGTTGAGGGGGAGGGGTAGGGGGTTAAATAAGAGAAGCCAAAAAATCAAAAAAAAAAAAAAATGGGGCGGGTGAACCGGCCCGGAACCGGCCCGGTCTGGCACGGAACCGGTCACCTGCCGGTTCGGGCCCGGGCCCTCCTTTTGGTGAACCGAGGTCCGGCCGGTTCAAGGCCCGAACCGGGCCCGGCCCGAACCGAGTCCAGCCCTAGTGTGTCTGATATTTAATATTGTTTGATATATGTTTTACAAAATCCAGTACTTGTTATCTAATAAAGATAATTAAACATTACAAAACTAGGAATTCTTATATAATAAGTATCCTAAATCTTAAATAACGAGTTACTCTATTGTTTATTTGTTTAAGCTATGTAAATTATTTTAGATGTTTCTTGTTTTAAATCTCCAATTAAGTATTACATTATGTAAGATTATATACTAATTTTGAAAATTAAAAGCTAAGGGGGGCGAATCTAATTAAATTATGAAAGTTTTATGAAAATATTATATATATACGGTAAAAAAAAAATTGAATGTCCCAGGGGGCGGTCGCCCCCCCTAAATCCATCCCTGTTTTTAAAATCAGTCTATATTTCTATCATCTAACCATAAAAAGTACGAGTATTTGAGAAAAATTAGTTGTACGATAAAGGTGATTTAAAAGCTCGAAAAGCTCTAAGTAATTGTATAGATGCATTGATTTCTCAATTTTAATTGTGTACGTAAATAAGGATTAACATACTTTTACACTTATTTTTTCTAAAAGTTTTTTTTGTCAAAACTTTTTTATGAGAAGTACGGAGTATATGATTAAGCTATTTTGTTTTCTGAATTAGAATCTCGTGTGAAGCTGATGTGGACACACACATTCAAAATACAAAAAGGATCTTTGTATCCACTCTTATACCCATTTTTGTACCCACCTATGTTGAAGTGTTTTTTTTCTGTGAACCCCGGCTCACAGACAATATTTTGCACAAATAAAATATTGTCTATGAACCGGGTTTACAGACAAAAAAAAACCTCCACAAACATGATGTGTATAAGGTGGTATAAGAGTGAGTTAATCAAGCATGGTTGTTCAAAATAATACATTCGTGCTCCAATGGGAATGTGAATTTAAGAGTTAGTTTCCTATTCATACCCAAACTGCACGACTGAAAAAAAACAACTGCGCATTATTTTGTAGTGCAACTCTTCTTCCAGCTTTCTCCAAAAACAGATATACACAGTGGAGTATATTACGATAGTATTTTATTTGTACCGCAAAACTCCTGAAACTCCTCTTCTAGCTTTTTCAAAAACCAAATATTACGTATATGGTTTTATGTGTGCCACGTTGCAGATCTGCTCAGTGAAGAATTTGTACTTTAGAGAAAGTATGCAATTAAAGTGGAAGTGGCCAAGTGGGTGCAAATGGTTTATTTTAATTATTTATACGACATGATGCTATGATAATTTTTACATAGTGCGTTATTGATTGCAGTCTTTAATTACTACTAGAAGTTTCAATCGAGGAGAATTATACAAAGTATTTGTTGAGTCACAGACTTTCTGAAAATAGAGGGCGTACCGCACGGTGTCAATTTGTTACATTTCCAACTCAGCATCATCAGACTTTCTGAAAAAAGACATTCTCATTGGAGAGTATTTTTATCTCAATGTCTATTTTGTATACTCCGTATGTGGCAATGCATTTTTAACCAATTCACATTGCCTAAAGATGCTCGTAGGATTAAAGATCCATCTACCAATTTAGGGTCAAGATTCAATGAATACTATCTAATCAGTCCTGGACTCGAGCCGGGTCCGGTCCGAGCCAGGCCTAGGCATGGCCGGTCCTAGGGGGAGGCCAACAGGGGCGACCGCCCTAGGCCCAAAAAAAAAATAGAAAGAGAATTATGCCCGAGTTTTTTTCTTTATATGTAATCGGAGTAGGCTTCTTTTTTTATTTATGATTTCAATTAATTAATTAGGTCTAATGTGTAATTTTTGTTGACACTTTGAGACTTTTTAAACATAAGTAAAAAATGTTGAACAGAGCTAGACAAGTTTTAAAAAAGAATATAAATTTAGTTTTGATTTTTAAATATAGTTGGTTGTAAGTCAACACATTTGTTGTTGAATCAATAAAAGCACGTCTCGTCACATCTTTTTAGCCTTTAAGATTTTTTATTCTTTTAATTACAAAATTATCAATTTATATTATTGTCTTTGGGTTGCCAGTGCCTCCCAATTCTCAAACATCATCCCAATTATCTATTATGCCTAAAAAAAACTTAATGGATTAGCAATTTTAAACATTGAACATGTGATCTTGGAAAAGATTGATTATAAAGCAATTATTGATAATTCTACTTCACAATATTCTTTTGTGATACTAGTGTTGTTATTTTTGTCCAAATATGCAATTCAAATAAAATGAGGGTGAATTTCATCTCTATTTTGTAACCTTTATTATATAGTTGTAGGGATAATTCCTGAAATAGGAGTAATTGTTTATCGAGAATTTCAAAATAGAACTGTCATGTGTTTATTTTCTGAATAGGAGTAATTATTGTCATGTTTGGAAAATACTACCACGTGTAAAATATGAAAGTGATTACTTCTATTTAGGGAATAAAAACATGATAATCTTAGTTTGGAATATACAAACGTTTTCAGTCATATTTAGAGTAATTTCTCCTGGTTTTATTATACCCCGTAGTTTTTACTTGAAGTATAATTT